GTTCTTTGGATAAATTTAATAAATCGAAAAAAATTGAAGTAATAAAAAGTTGTTTCATTTAATTCATTAAAGTTACAATATTATAAAATAAATTTATATCTAGTAAATGTGATACAGAGAAATACAATAGCATGAAAAGACTTGTAGAGAATATACCCACTCTGATAAAGTATCTAAGGAGATCACGTGGCCAATTTTTTTTAGTCACCTCAGCTGATTATCAGAGATTGGAGCGAAAGCAAGGTTAGAAACGAGAGGGTTAGAATGGTTCTGTTTATTATGGAAAGGTAAATATCTGGATTGGACCAAATCGAAAGCATATGAACAGTAAGATCGTTATGGATGATTTTATTTGTGACAAAGTAAGGCTCATTGCGGATTTTACGAAGGAGTTAGGATTGAAAGGCTTGGACACGAGATGAATTCGATAGCTTAATGGAGCTCTAATGCTCAACTCCATATGTCCAAACAGGCCTTATTATAGTCATGTATATGAGTCTTTTGTATTTAATTGTGTATTTAGAGCGTTTGTCTAGAAAGTGCTGAAGCAGTCGGAAACGTCGAGCGGATTCTTGTCTTCTTTGTCTGCTATGAGGATTCTACATTGGAAGTTTGACCAGGTGCAGCCCTAGGTATCGAATTCGTTCTACAGAGATAAGCGGAGTATTAGGAATATTAGTAGGACAGGAAATCTTAAGTTTACAACGGAGGATAAAGGGAAATTGATTGGATTTATTGAAATTTGTTTTGATTCGCTAATTTTGACACAATTCTTCAAGATTAGTGATGTTTGATTGAAGAGTTTGGGATGTAATTAATGCGTTATTAACTGATAGGACACAAGAGTCATCGGTATAGGTGGTGATGACAGTGTTGGGGTGGGTTGGAATGCCAATTGTATAAACTGAGCAAATGATAGAACCAAGGACCTTGATGAACTAAGAACTTGATAGGACCTTTTGAACACTACCAGACTGAAAAAAAGAAATGAATAGGCATTGTTGTGATTTTCTTTGAAGTATCTATTAGTAAGATAGGAACAGTAAAAAAGTAAAAAAAAAAAAATTTTAATTTAAAAACAGACTACGCAAATAACTATCCGTCCCAAGGTATCGAACATGGTGTTTATTTACACAAACAAATAAGCGGGTTGTTAGTATCTATGAATATCGGAACAGTGTGAAGTATTCAGGTGCTTTCTACTCTCAAGTCTTTTGAACTCTTAAGTCTTTTGACAAAACTAATTTACCTTTTTTATGTTTACACACCGTACGATTCTAGGAGCTTTCTTAATATTGACATGCATGGAATTATGAAATAGAAAGAGCTATAAAGGGTCGCGGAAGGCACCAGACTACTTTACCATGTTTCAATATTCATAGATAATAATAACACACATGGTGTTCGCCCAACGGAGTGGCTACGCAGGTTGACCACGTGTCAACGAGGTAAATGATGTAAGGTGTTTTCGGGACTGGATATTAACTCGGATCATTTCCTGGTCCGAAACAATGTATAATAGGTCAATATACATAAACACCAAAAGACAGAAAAATGGAAGGTCGGAAAGTTGAAAATAGAACAAGTAAATAATGACGTCCAAGAAAAATTGCAAGACAGTACATGGGCGCATCAGGACATAAGGAGCATGAAGAAATAGAAATGAATACAATCAAATTATAACAGTGGCTGGAGATGAAAGCTGTTAGTCGAACCAAAGAAATCCCAATATATCTCTTGGTACGACACGAAATCCGACCTGGCCATAAAAGCCCAAAGTTGTAAGAGAATGAAATGGCTGAACAGAAACACAAGGCAGATCCGATATCACTATCAGCAAAAGAGAAAAGCTTGCTAAATACCACATGCAAGTTAATCTCTATAGCTCTCTATAACCATCTACTGTATTATGTTGAGAGTAAGCTTGTAAATAACAAGAGTGGATCTACCATTCACCACATTTTCTCGCTGAGACAAATGTGCGAAAAAATGAGTTCTAGAATACAATGTGTATTCTACTTGTAGATTTTAAGGCAATGATTTATGATACTGTTTCGAGAGCAGAACGTTTTTCAGACAAGGAAAGAAATCAGTATCCCTTCCAAGCTCATCATACTCACTAAATGCACACTTTGTAATTCAGTCAGTAGTGTCAAAGTGAGCTACCTCACGCATTCCGTGTCAATACTGCTCTCAGACAAGGTGATCCTATGGCTCCACTTTTCTTTAATATTAATATATTATACAATCAAAACCAAGCAGGAGGAATGCAGCTTTCGCGGTCTTAGACAGGAGCGTTTGGCAACTTGGGCCTTGCCATATCTTGAGATCCTAGGAAGCCAAAGGTGTTTCTTCCAATCTAAGAAAGTCAATAGAAAGCTTATTGTGTACAAACATCATTAGGATCAATTTAGGGGTTAACAAGACCGAACCAATCCATGTTCTGAGAGGAGTACTACAGGGTGGATCACTGTCGCCGGCGTTGTTCAATTTGGGTATTGGCTCACTTTATTCTGAGATCTGCAATTCGAACGTTACAATGGACTACGTTTATAAATTGAATCGTAACCACGTTCCTGTTTTGCTTACAATTTTCGCAAATGAAAACTCTTTACGAGTTGGAATTATCCGTTAATCCCATTTGTTTTTTTTTCCTACCCCCAGGAATTTCTTTTTTACAAAATACAATATATATATAAATCTTCAATTTCTTTTTATTGCCCAAGGGCATTTTAAGGTAAGAGGGCTATGCACGCTGTATGCGTTCTTTGCATCTGCCCTCTTACCGTTAATCCCAGAAAAAGTTCAGGTATTATATGGACGAAGAGAAGATTGCTAATACTGAGCTTCTGCTTGGATACTGAGGAGGAAATAAGGTCGATTGAGGAAGTTGATACTATCAAATACATTGGAGGTCGTTTCTCCGATGAGCTGGAAGTTGATGATATACCTGTGGGTAGGATGAATCGAAATATAGAAAAACATGTCAATTCTAATCTCCTTAACCCGGATCAGATACTTAACATAGTATATGGTTATGTGTTTCCTTCATTTGTATATTCTATGCAGACGGCGCCTCTGGCGAAATTGCCTTCATCTTTATTAGAAGCTGTAGACGTAATAATACGAAGAAGCCTAAAGGCGATGATCGGATAGCCGACAAACTCGTGCTCGGCAATGATGTACGTGCCGCGGCGTTATATGGGTCCTGGCGATATGCGGTTTCAGTGGGTGGCTCCTGTTCAACACTGGTCTATTTCACAAAAACTGGGAAATGTGCTGAATATCCTTTTTCAGGTGATTTTCGATTTCGGCGGTGAAGTGCAGATGTGTGTTAGGCTTCGAAGCAAAGTCTATGTAGGCGTCACAATCGGTCTAGAACCGATTTTGGGTGACGCTAGTACCTGCTAGAGAAATATAGAAAAGAATTTAGTGAGAGAGAATATCTGGTTTGGGGACTATGGTTCGGGAGTAGAGGTGCGATTCTACTTCCAACTTTTGGATTTTGGAAGAACTAGGTGTTGAAAGGAACCATCTGCAGAGTATGGCAGAATCAATTTAATTTTTAATTTTTTTTTATTTTTTATTATTTTTTATTATTTTAGACTCATTTGTAGGGAATCCTACAACACCATGTGTATTTATTGTGGGTGCTTTGTTTTAGACTCAGTAGACCAATGTGAGAGAGAAAAAAATGAGAAAAAAAGTTTATTAGTTTATAAGAAAAAAGAAAAGTAACAGTGAATTAATGTATTCTAACATTCGGTACGTTGGATGATGGTCCCTTAATACTTTATCCGGCGTGTTCTCTTTTGTTAAATGATATCGATTTTGACTGATTAGTGATTTAGCTGAGTGATTTAGCAACTCAACACTGTTGAGCAGTAGTGCAATTTATTATACTTTTCTCCCTAGCATATGCTGATGACGATACCATCGATGAAACGTCCCTCAAAAACATCAAAGATTCATCTGAAAGGTTCTAGAAAAAGGCTCTTCTTTTGTTCTTCAAGTAATCGTAGAGAATACAAACATAACGGTAACGTGGAGAAAAAATTTGAGGTATTCTCAGAACATATACATGAAATCGTGTGGAAGGCCATCAGGAAAAAGATGGAGGGACAATATAACTGCAGATCTGGCTGCATATGCCCTTTCACTATTACTTGATGGAGATCGAGCAGCCTGGGCAAGAGCTTTAGAGCAAGCCATCCGCTCAAAAATCGTGACAAACGAGAGAAAATAATAAAAACTCATTAGTTTTTTTTTTCCTACGCCTAAGTGACGCCTGCTTCTTTAGCCATGCGTGCTCTTGCAGTCAAATATAATTTTGCTCTAGCATCTTTAGCATATGGTCTGTCCATTTCATTAAAGGAACATCTTATATCCTGTAATGCAGGACATGTATCAAGTTGGTCTCCTGTCATCATATCTAAGAAACATAGAGGGCATGTCTGGCTATCTTTTACACCGATGCGGTGGAGGTGGTTCTGAAGAAAACTATGGCCTGTGAACATTCTAAAGCATGCCACGGCTTGGCCTCTAGGGATCCTGCCACTTTCTTCGAGCAATCCACTCCATCGTTTCCCTTCAATTGTTTGCGCATATTTCTCCTTCACTGAACTTTGGAGGGTCTGTTTTATAATTCATTTCGTTGAATCTATGCCCAGAGGAATATCTGGTTGGATCATTCCAGAACCTATTCTGGCCAGTTTGTCAGCTTCATCATTTCCGTGGAGCCCGAAAAACTCATTAGTAACAACAGCAATAATTCTAATATTAATTTTCTATTGTTTTACTGAAAAATATAAATCATATTTAAACAGGTGTAGTGAAAGTACATAGACATTCAGAGAGGAGGACAAAAAGGAACTGCAGATATTTTCAATAAATTTATTTATTTTAGTGATTTTCTTTTTTGCGGTATTCAACTATATTGTTCGCATGAAAACTCCTCACCTTTCTGCCTGATATCCGCCCTCGGCTGCCGCCAGCAGGCCTCATGGAACTGACACACCGCGCGCCGTCTGAGGTGAGGGAGTCCCGCCACTTCTGTAATTGGAGCTCATTACCCTCCCCGCCCTGTTATTTGGCGGGAGATCTCTGAAGAGGGGTCTGCTAATGGTTTGTGGCCGCCCAGTCACTGGCGCCGCCCCGCGTGTGGTCTGCATTTGTGGATTTTTGTCGATACTGATTCGAGTGATCGCCAAAGCTGCCGCGATTGTGCCTACATAAACATCGGTTTCTTAGATTAAGATGCGGTTACTTATCTGTATCTTTTTTAAGTTTATTTATCTGATGAATTTGAAAGTATTTTTTTTTGTAGCGGACTTTAGTTTGGTATACTATAAAACTAGAACCTTTTTAAGAAATTCAGTAGTATAGCCATCACTAACAAAGGAACTTATTTTACTTTTTTATGGTTTTAGAATAGAATAGATTAGAAAAATAATTTTATTCTGGGACGAAGTCCCTTTAGAATAACAAAAAAGTACAAAATTAAAGTATTATATCTGGCTTAAGTAAAAACAAACATAAAAAGTATAAAGAAAGTAAAGAAAATATTAGTTAAACGTAATATGTACAAAATAAAAAAAATCTATATACAAAACACTTGAAACCATGCCAAGACACTTAAAACTATGTACAGTGGGGAAACATAAGTATACACTTTAAAAAAATAAAAAATACATTACATTCTTCTTAGCAATAAACTTTATGCATATGCAGAAAAAAAAAGGAAAAGAAGTGATGAATTATAAGTAAATATATCATTATGTGAATAATTTTGAATAATATGTAAATTTACATAAAAGGTTAGCGGGGGGGGGGGGGTCTGTTTTTGGGATAGAAATTGGAATAGGAGGTTTTAAATATAGATAGGGAGGGAGAATGCCGAATTTTGATAGGAAGGGAATTCCAGAAATTAACAGAGCGAGCAATAAACGAGTTTTGGAACGAGGAAGATCTGTGAGAAGGAATGTAAAGGTCGGAAGATCGAGATCTTGTGAAAAGGGAGTGGACTGAGGACTTGAAGTAGAGAAGGTTGTAGGCGTAAGAAGGACGATGATTGTTGATGATTTGATAGTTTTACGATGATTTGAGGCATCTTTATAAAAACATATAATCTGAGAGGAAGGAACATTAGAAGAACGGAGTCCAGTCCATTCGTATGCAAGGTTCCTGCAGTGGATCAACCAAATATTTTGGAGGATGTCAAAAGTATGTAAAAATGTTGGACTTTTTTGTGTCCAATCCACAGAGCTCAGAAATCAACATTTCTCATCGGTATAAGTATATATATTGAATTATCCAATGCAAGGAGGAATTTTGCAACTAACAAATGTAACTGAAAGAAATATACGAAGGAACTTGTGGAAGCTTCTCAGGAATATAATATAATTTTATCATATTCGATATTCTGCACTGTTATTTCCTCATAAATCGCCGGAGTGTTAATAGTTGATATCTTCTTTTAGATAAATACTCACGTTAATGAAACATTTATTGATCTGATGAAGAAATCACTGCAGATTATCGGACATAACATTATACCAATAAAATACCTGTGAAGCTCTTGTGGTCCTTCCTGCATTGCTTTCCGTCACATTCAGTATATGATGATATCTTACTTGTATTGGATGATTCAAATTTTATGCTAAATTTCAGGTTATATTACTTTTATTGGCGTCCATCTTTGAACGAAATTTCATTCGAAGTGTGATTTCATGATATTACAAAGAAAATAAACTTGATTAAGAATAATTGATACCTCTTATCCTGCTGAATATTTATCTTCTTGAGGTTTAGCTGTTGTTGTTAAATAAAAGAAGTGAGGAATTAATCATGGCCAACCAATACATAGCTCAATACGCCATCATGACAGGACCAATTATGTTCCTATTTGGGTGTTGTTGCTTTTAAAGGTTTTGACTCTGTATGTATGTATGTATGTTTGTTCGATACAAACTCCAGAACTGCCCAGTTAATTGCAGTCAAATTTATTAGAAAAACTTTATAAAACTTAGTAAATGAATCCTTCAATGTATAGTTGTTATCTTTCCTGCCTTTTTATGTCAGTGGTTCTGGAAGTTGAAAAATGTTCCGTAATGCATCAAATAGCTTTCCTTAAATCTCGTTTGCTGTCGATCTAAAAGCGCAGGGTCAAACTTTTGAGCCTTTTGAATTCAACTTACAGGAAGTCTGTTTTATATTGCCTTATCAGGAAAATGAGAAAACCAATCTATACTTACCATAGAGAGAAAAAACTTAAAATACAGTTTAAGCTAATGGAGCATTTTTTTAAGTCTTGGATTTCAATATCCAATGTATAATGTTAACATGGTAACCCCAAAAAGAATCGTAACATAAATTCGGATATAATATTTATGTATTGAGTGTGAATGTGCTCTTTGAACTTGTAATATTTCTCAATAAATCAGTTTAATATATAT